TCGTTAATCCATTCATGCGCGTCACATTAGATGACGAGGCATTTGGCTACCTTAAGAGAGTCATAGTTACTCCCGCCGTTTACCCGCGCTTGCTTGAATTTCTTCACTTTGACATTCAGAGCACTGGGCAGAAATCACATTGCGTCAACACCCGTTGGGGCCATCGCAATGCTTTGTTTTAATTAGACAGTCGGATTCTCCTGGTCCGTGCCAGTTCTGAGTTGATCGTTGAATGACGGCCGAAGAAACAAACACCCCGTCCACCAACACAAGGCCGGCAACTTGACAGGTGAAAGTTCGCAGCAAGAAAGGTCCTTAGGTGGTCAAGGCACGGGACCGAGCTCGGTTCAGGAACGCGTGAACGCCCGTCTCCTCGCCCAGCCCGGCACGTTGACACGGGCTCTAATTCTCCAACTTGCCCAGCAACGTCACGATCCTCAGAGCCAATCCTTATCCCGAAGTTACGGATCGGATTTGCCGACTTCCCTTACCTACATTAATCTATCGACTAGAGGCTTTTCACCTTGGAGACCTGCTGCGGATATGGGTACGAGCCGGCGTGGGGTTCCTCGTGGCCCTCTCCCGGATTTTCAAGGTCCGTGGGGAAGATTCGGACACCGCCGTAACTGCGGTGCTCTTCGCGTTCCAAACCCTATCTCCCTGCTAGAGGTTTCCAGGGAACTCGAACGCTTATAGAGAAGAGACAACTCTCCCCGAATCTCCCGACGGCGTCTCCGGGTCTTTTCAGGTTGCCCTGACGAGTCCTCAGTGAGGGCCCGATTTGGAACGGTTCCACTGCCGGGTTCCGGAATAGGAACCGGATTCCCTTTCGCCCAGATGGTGCCAACAATCGTTAGATTAACGGCAACCCATCGCTTCGGATTTCTCCTAGGGCTTAGGATCGACTGACTCTTGTGCAACAGCTGTTCACAAGAAACCCTTCTCCACATCAGTCCTCCAGGGCCTCGCTGGAGTATTTGCTACTACCACCAAGATCTGCACCGACGACGGCTCCAGGCAGGCTCACGCCCAAAACCTTCTGCGCACATCGCCGCGGCCCTCTTACTCGTCAAGGCATAACAGCACCGTCACACCGTGAGGCGACCGCCTGCATTGCCGTTGACGGCGGAGTATAGGCACGACGCTACAGCGCCATCCATTTTCAGGGCTAGTTGCTTCGGCAGGTGAGTTTTTACACACTCCTTAGCGGATTCCGACTTCCATGGCCACCGTCCTGCTGTCTTAAGCAACCAACGCCTTTCATGGTTTCACATGAGCGTCGATTGAGGCGCCTTAACTCCGCGTTTGGTTCATCCCACAGCGCCAGTTCTGCTTACCAAAATTGGCCCACTTGGCACTCTGATCCAAGCCCCCGGCTTCATCAACAAAGTTCAAGAAAGCCGGGGTTCTCATCTATTTGGAGTTTGAGAATAGGTTGAGGTCGTTTCGACCCCAAGGCCTCTAATCATTCGCTCTACCGGATGAGACTCGTTTCGTCCGAGCGCAAGCTATCCTGAGGGAAACTTCAGAGGGAACCAGCTACTAGATGGTTCGATTGGTCTTTCGCCCCTAAACCCAGCTCCGACGATCGATTTGCACGTCAGAATCGCTGCGGACCTCCACCAGGGTTTCCCCTGGCTTCGTCCTGGCCAGGCATAGTTCACCATCTTTCGGGTATCAGCGTGTACACTCTAGGTGCGCCTCCTCTCGCAATGAGATAGAGACGCCCCGGAGTGCGGGGACTACCCTCGAAAGGGACAGATCCCATCCTCCCTCGAAAACGAAGTTTCCTTCACTTTCATTTCGCCTTTAGGTTTTGACACCCAATGACTCGTGCACACGCTAAACTCCTTGGTCCGTGTTTCAAGACGGGTCGGACAAGAGCCCAAAACTGGTTCGCCGTAGACTAGTGCCATTTTTTTTGACCGGCGAGAGAGCTCACCCAACCAACAGATGCGAGAGCAGTCAGACAGACAAAGGCCTGCCTTGACACACGACTCACAGCCTTGTCGAGGGCCACTCGCGCTCTAAAAAGGATTTCTCCCTTCGCGGAGCGGTCCAACACTGTCATTTGATACCGACCGGAGCTTCCATGGCCGGGAGAAGAGGGGGCTGCGCCAGATTGCGAACAACTCACGCAGGCTCCCACCCCAACCCTTAGACCATGGCCGGACGGGTCACGACGTCCTACTGGGGGAGAAGTGCGGTCCACCGCGGTCCTGCCAACCCACCTTCGGCGACTCCACAACCCGCATCGGATGAATCCGAATGAGGCATAGAGCCGTCCACGAAAGGCAGGCCGTCTGACCAGCGAGAAGACGTGAATCTCCCCTTTCGGAAATTTCGGGTCTTTTCCGTTTACCCCTGAGCGGTTTCACGTACTCTTGAACTCTCTCTTCAAAGTTCTTTTCAACTTTCCCTCACGGTACTTGTTCGCTATCGGTCTCGTGGTTGTATTTAGCCTTAGATGGAGTTTACCACCCGCTTAGGGCTGCACTCTCAAGCAACCTGACTCTAAGGAGAGGCTCACCTGATACCAGCACCAGCCAACTACGGGCCTGGCACCCTCTCGGGACCGTGGCCTCGTTCAAGATGGACTTGGACGCAGTGCAGTAGTATCAGGTATACGAACCCTCCCGAACACTACATTTCCCTGAAACTAGTCTTCGGGATTCAGTGCTGGGCTCTTCCCTGTTCGCTCGCAGCTACTAAGGGAATCCTGGTTAGTTTCTTTTCCTCCGCTTACTAATATGCTTAAATTCAGCGGGGAGTCCCACCTGATCTGAGGTCGGTTAGTTAAGTTTTGTTGAAAGACCAATGTTAATTGAATCTTCCTCGAGCCAACTTGACATCCCAGGTCACAATGACGCGAGACTAGCATTTGAGCTGGAAAATATTACCCACGATTCTCGATGATGGTAAACTGACGATGGCACTCCATCGAGTTTACACTCGATTCACTTCTCGAGTAAACGAGAAGTTGCACGAGTGCAGCACTGAGAAAATAGTACAGATACAGGTTGAGCGTATGATGTGATCATCACGTGTCAATTCCAGAGTTTACCTCTCCACCATATTGATAGACAGAAAGAACTTCCTCTCACACGCTTCCTCTTTCGAGAAAATCTTGGAGAGGCGCTCTGCTGTTTTGCAGTACTGCCATCAAGCCTGGATTCGGGACTTCGTCTTCGAACCAGAGGCGTAACCACACAGGAGACCTTTACAATTCGTTCTGTATCAATGATGGGAAGGATTCTCAGAAATTCACAGATTTTCACTTCTCAGCACCTTTGCACATCATCTCTGCGCACGTGCTCTCTCTTGACGAAAAAAGCAACGTACTCGAATCAATTGAGTCTTCAAAGTCAAAGTTATCAACCAAATCATCGGTCAAATCGAGGCATTCAACTCTAGCTGGTCGTCATTTCTTGTGTTTGGTGCCTTGAAACGCTGGCTTTTTATCTAAGGAGACAGCAATTCAACACTACGTCACTGGGAAATAGCGTTGAATTGGTGAAGCTCCCGCAGAGCGTGCAGGAGGAATATCAGAGGGGGAAGTTTCGAACACAGTACATGGGGTTAGATTTTGACAGGCTGGGAGCGTAAGTGAATTGAACTACGAGAGCTCTTTCCTTCTCCGACAAGCCGCCTCCATCTGGGCCATCGTACCAATGTGAAACACTACCTCCTCATCCTGTGCATCGCAAGGATGGTGATACCCAAAAAAAATTTGGGTACAGCGTACAAACGACCCTCAGACAGGCGTGGCCCTTGGATGGAATCCCAGGGCCGCAATGTGCGTTCAAAATGTCGATGTTCATGTGTCCTGCAGTTCACACGACGACGCGCAGTTTGCTGCGTCTTTCATCGACCCACGAGCCGAGTGATCCGCCGCTCAGGGTAATCATGTTTTACTTCAGAGTTTCAGACCTCACGGTCCTAGTACTCTTGAAAGGCAACTGTTTTTACCCCATTTGCCAAGAGGGTATGGACTCTGTATATTTCAACTCTCGCCAGGAAGAAGCGTAGGGGGATGCGTTCCTAAAGGTTCACATCTTCTTCGAATTCCAAACACGAGTGTTGGCGCCTTCAGAAGAGTGGAATGGTTAGGGTTTGGAAAGTAGACTTTTCTGCCCTAGCCACGACCCATTCCTTTCTGCCATTGTCAGAGTGATGAGTGAGGTTCGGTGGAAGAGCTGCATTTTCACGCAGCAACTACCCCCTAGTCTCTCTTCAGCCACTCATCTCTTGGCCTCTTCCAAAAGGTCGACTTGACGTTCAACGTGGCTATTGAATGTATATTATATTCATAGGTATAAGATAGGTCAGGCTTCTTTTCGTTACACTTTGGTGCAACTTTCAATAATGATCCTTCCGCAGGTTCACCTACGGAAACCTTGTTACGACTTTTACTTCCTCTAAATGATCAAGTTTGGTCATCTTTCCAACGTTCATCGCTACCGACAAGTCGATAGCGATTACCGCCAGTCCGAAGACCTCACTAAATCATTCAATCGGTAGTAGCGACGGGCGGTGTGTACAAAGGGCAGGGACGTAATCAACGCGAGCTTATGACTCGCGCTTACTGGGAATTCCTCGTTCATGGGGAACAATTGCAAGCCCCAATTCCTAGCACGCAGGAGGTTCAGCGGATTACCCGGACCTTTCGGCCAGGGAGGCACACGCTGATTCCTTCAGTGTAGCGCGCGTGCGGCCGGCCCAGACATCTAAGGGCATCACAGACCTGTTATTGCTCAATCTCGTGCGGCTATAAGCCGCCTGTCCCTTAAGAAGAATGATTGTCGCCGGTGGCGGGGACACCGGAAAACGCCTAGTTAATAGGCTAGAGTCTCGTTCGTTATCGGAATTAACCAGACAAATCGATCCACCAACTAAGAACGGCCATGCACCACTACCCACTGAATCAAGAAAGAGCTATCAATCTGTCAATCCTTCCAATGTCCTGGCCTGGTGAGGTTTCCCGTGTTGAGTCAAATTAAGCCGCAGGCTCCACTCCTGGTGGTGCCCTTCCGTCAATTCCTTTAAGTTTCAGCTTTGCAACCATACTTCCCCGGAACCCAAAAGCTTTGGTTTCCGGGAAGAAGCTCCCCGCCGAGTCATCGGAGGAACATCGGCGGATCGCTGGCTGGCATCGTTTATGGTTAGAACTAGGGCGGTATCTGATCGCCTTCGAACCTCTAACTTTCGTTCTTGATCAATCAAGACATACTTGGCAAATGCTTTCGCTCTTGTGCGTCTTGCGACGATCCAAGAATTTCACCTCTAACGTCGCAATACGAATGCCCCCGCCTGTCCGTATTGATCATTACCTTGTGTTCCTAAGAACCAACAAAATAGAACCAAGATCCTGTTTTATTATTCCATGCACCACTATTCAGGCAGAGATTTCAGCCTGCTTTGAGCACTCTAATTTGTTCAAAGTAAACGTACCGGCCTACCTCGACACTCGGTGAAGAGCACCTAGGTAGGATAGAGTAGGCGCACGGGTGGGACCTCCGGCCTCCGACACCGAGTGAAACCCGGGCCGACGCCTGACAAGGCTCCCGTACGCCACCGGCAGGACATGCCACGGCATGCCAGTTACACCGGCAGGCGGCGAACCGACAGCGTAGCACGCAGAACCAACTACGAGCTTTTTAACCGCAACAACTTTAATATACGCTATTGAAGCTGGAATTACCGCGGCTGCTGGCACCAGACTTGCCCTTCAATGGATCCTTGTTAAAGGATTTAAAGTGTACTCATTCCGATTACGGGGCCTCAAATGAGTCCCGTATCGTTATTTTTTGTCACTACCTCCCCGTGCCGGGAGTGGGTAATTTGCGTGCTGCTGCTGCCTTCCTGGATGTGGTAGCCGTTTCTCAGGCTCCCTCTCCGGAATCGAACCCTGATTCCCCGTTACCCGTTACAACCATGGTAGACATAGAGTCTACCATCGACAGTTGATAAGTCAGGCATTTGAAGGATAAGTCGCCGGTGCTGAGACCATGCGATCTGATGTGTTACCTAGAGTCACCAAGGCAACGCCCGGACAGGCCAGGCGATTGGTCTTGATCTAATAAAAGCGTCCTTCCCAGTCAGACTGGTCGGGACTTTATTGCATGTATTAGCTCTAGGATTACCACAGTTATCCAAAAACAGTCATGTATACTCGAGTGAATCATGACTGGTTTACTGAGCCTTTTGCGGTTTCACTTTATTATAGTTTGTACTGAGACTTGCATGGCTTAAGCTTTGAGACAAGCATATGACTACTGGCAGGATCAACCAGAGTGGCATGCTGGGATTCACCCTCCTTGACACGACTCAGTTACAGTAGCGTTGTTAGGCGCTATCGTAGGTCTGAGTACGTGACAAAAGCCGATTGATGGGCCCCCTCTGCAGGGACCTACCAAGCCGACGAGGTTTAATGATTCAACAGTCAAACCACGACTGGATGGTGATATACGAGTGGATGAGAGATCTCGCCACATTTTCGAATCACTTCATTAGAAACCGACTCAGATTGAATTCCCATACGCGATGATGGGTTCATATCGAGAGGTTGAGAGAGTTCGGATAGCGTTTCTATCCTTTAATATTAGAGCGTCTAAACGACTCCGAGTTGAGCCCCAGCGTAGTTAGCAAGGGCTTGACGATAGCTTGATCGACTTCTTGGTATGTATGATGACGGGCGAGTGGACTGGAGCGTAAGAACTCCCCATGCCATGCCCTCATAGTTTGCCGCTTATTGATCAGCGTCAGAGGCTAACGAGATCGCAGCTTTGCTGTGTTCAATAGAGGTTCATTTGAGGATCTTGATTTAGCTGTTCCGCCTATGGAGCAAATGCGGGTTCTTAAACCTCATATCATGAAGGAACCACCACATCTGTTTTTAGGACGATCCAACGACTAGTTGTCGACGGGCAGGGTGTTAAGAGCACCCACAGCCTGACGGCAGAGACTAGCTCGAAACCCTCAATACGCCTCCAATAACCTATACGTATACATTCCAGACGAACACTCGACGGTGGATATCAAGGCGTAATGAGCTATGTTGGTCGAGCACGGTGGTGCAAGAAAGAAAAACGGTCGAGCACGGGTGAAGCCAAAAATACGGGACAGCCCAGAAAAACGCCCAACACTTAGTTTCGCCCTTATCTAGTCGAAACTAGGATTCCCCTATAAACGTTACGGACTTAGAAAAATTTTCCCCCAACTCTGGACTTGGAATATTTTTTGGCCCCACTTTGAACTTCGAAAGATTTCAGGCCAAAGGAGACTCTGAAAAATATTCCATCAGTCTGGTGACCTCAATAAGAACAATGGAAAATCCCCACGAGGTTCAGCTCAATCACCTGTCCTCTCTACCAATTTAAAATATCTAATAATTCAAAAACTGCTCCTTAGAAAGATTTGAAACTGTAATAGAGTGTTTTCCCTATCAAAGGCTACCTATCTTCCCAAGTCCCTACCATTTCCTACCCCTTCCTAAGATATATACCATGTTAGAATGTCCTCAACACTCAGGTCTAAGAAAATGTTATTCAACCATGCAATAAGAGTAACAACACAAAGAATGAGACACTGCTCAGTTTATTTAGGTAATTTTAATTTTGTTTATTAAAATAATTTAAAATGATGTGCAACCCCTGTTATGAAAATTTTATTGTCAATAAACAGTATTATTCTCTCTCTCTCTCTCTCTAATGTGTGTCTACATAATATCTAGTTTTCTATAATACCAGTTACTATTCGTGATTATTACAATGTATGTCAATTTCTTAATATACGACTATTATTATTTGTCTATAGCACTTTTCCTACTTTCACATTTTATCCTTCATTTCCATGTTAGGACTATAATGTCCACCGTGCTCGACCAAGATGGATGATAACGCCTTGATACTCAAACCGAGGTGTTCGTCTGAAAGGCCCGTGCCTAGGTTATAGAGGGAGTGTGGTTATGTCAGAGGTGATGTAGTCCATGACTATCAGGGAGATGACCATTTTGGCACAATACCTAGGGTGTTTCAGTTGTGTACTTCATGCGTTGCAAAGCCAGATAGCTCTCAGCTTGGTGGTCCGAGCTCGCATGCTAAACTGTACTATGAGAGCTCCCTCTCTCGCACCTGAGGGAAAAGTGACTGATGGCCGAGGATACAGCAACCCTGAGCAGGCTGAGGGAAGAAAGTCTCACCTAGGAACCCACAACCCACACCCCAAGATCCCTCTTAAAAAATGGACCACCCACCCCAACCCAACCCCCCTCCCCACCCCCCCACCCGAGTGTTAGTCAAACCAATCGGTCGAGCACGGAAGACATTGTATGAAACCAGTTGTGAAGTTCACTCCAACTAATCGGTCGAGCACGGATGAGAGGAGGGAGAAACCTTAGTTGTAGGAACAAAATAAATCGGTCGAGCACGGAAACATTTTGAAGCGCTAGTCTAACCAATCGGTCGAGCACGGAAGACATGGTGTTAATTAGGTCCAACTTAAACCAGGCAAGCGTAGAACAAACCTCTCGTTACACTTGATTCTGGGTTGATTCTCCCTTCTTTCCATTCATCTTCAATTCTATTTCCAGAGACTTGATTCTGGCTTTTTCATACTCTCCCTTATCAGGTTAGCACGATTGCCTTTCCAAATCTTTGTGTGTGAGACTTTGACGGAATTTTCTGTCCCACAAACTTCAGTGTTGAGACAAGTAAAGGTTTAAACACTGTCAAATCACTTAATTCTCTCAGCATACTAACATTACCCAGGAAGTCTCAATCCTTGCATGTCGGCAAGCGACTGCTTTGATGAAACCCCCCGGAGGCTTCCTCAGTGTGTGTCGGCGAGCGACCACTTTGACGAATCCTCCGAGCTAGGGATGAGTCTCAACAGATCGCAGCGGA